TTCCTGTTGTACAGATCCTCTGATCAATAAGTAATGGCCTTCACTGTCTCTTATGACCTTCCTCACTCTGAAATCGATGTGGTCTGATATAAGGATGGCTACCCCAGCTTTTTTATGGGAGCTGTTTGCCTGTAGGATTGTTTTCCAGCCTTTGACTCTGAGTCTGTGTTTGCTTTGACTATTGAGATGCGTTTCTTGCAGGCAGCAGAATGTTGGGTTCAATTTTCTAATCCATCCTGCCACCCTATGTCTTTTAATTGGTGCATTCAGCCCATTGACATTGAGAGGGATTATTGTTATGGGATTTTGTCCCATTGTTATGTTAAAATTGGGTGTATTTGAGGGGCCTTTCTTGCCTTAAAGTAGCCCATTTAGTTGTTCTTGTAACCATGGTTTTGAGTCTATGAAGTTCCTGAGCTGTTGTTTGTCTGTGAAACTGTGTGTTGTTCCTTCTATTATGAATGAGAGTCTTGCTGGGAAAAGTATTTTGGGGGAGGCATTTATTTCATTGAGTTTTTTTACTATGTCCCACCACTGTTTTCGGGCCATGAGGGTTTCATCAGAAAAATCAGCTGTGAATTTTAAGGATGCTCCTTTGTAAGAGATTTCTTTCTTCGATCTTGCTGCTTTCAGAATTTTGTCTCTGTCTAAGGTTTTGGTCATTTTGATCAGAATGTGTCTTGGGGTATTTTTATTCGGATTTCTTCTAGCTGGTACCCTTTGGGCCTCCTGAATGTGGTCACAAGTTTTCTTCAGCTCTGGAAATGTTGTAGCAATGATGTCTTTGACAGTTTCTTCTTCATCGAGGTTTTCTTCCTGTCCCTCTGGGACTCCAATAATTCTTATGTTACCCCTCTTGGCTTCATCACGATCTTCTCTTGCCATCTGTTCCCGAATTGTGAGTCTCTTTTCCATTTTCTGCTCTTTTCGGGAGAGTCTCTGAACTTCATTTTCGAGCTCACTGATTCTGTTCTCAGCCGCTGTTACTCTGCTGCTGAGGCCTTCCACTGAGCTTTTCAATTCGCCTACGAGATTTTTCAGGTCTGACATTTCTGATTGCATTTTCCTCATTTCTGCCTTCAGATCCTCTTGTCTTCTATTGGCATTGGTTTCCATTGTTTCTTTTAATTCCCTAAGCATCCTAAGTAGCTCCCTTCTGAATTCCTTGTCAGAGAGGTTGTCTAACACTACAGTACTGTTGGTGTCATCTGGGCTAGACTCTTCAATATGAATGTTTGGTGGGCTTTTGCGTTGCTTTACCATTGTGAGAGGTGTGGTTTAGTCCTTCACGTTCAGTGTTACTATTCTGCTTGATATGCAGTGTGAGTTAAGATAGGCTTATGAGTTATTGGCAACTGTATTTCTAGTGGCTGAGCTAAAATAGAGAAGTTTCCATCTAAGAAGTTAGCTTATGGTTCCTATGGCATATGTAGTGGGAAAATATTTCGCGGCCGCGGCTCCGGAAAGAGTCCCTGGCACTGGGCGAGGAGTTGGGAATGTCTCCTGTTTGGAATTGGAGCCGTTCAGCTTTGTTGCCCAGAGCTGGGCCTCTGTGCCCGTCCCACGCGGATCAGGGGTTGAAAACCGGCTGTCTCGGGGCTGTTTCTAGCTGCGCGTGCCCAGAGAGGAACCCAGGCCCTTGGGGGCGGGCTGTACCTGTTGGAATTGGAGCCGTTCAGCTTTGTTGCCCAGAGCTGGGCCTCTGTGCCCGTCCCACGCGGATCAGGGGTTGAAAACCGGCTGTCTCGGGGCTGTTTCTAGCTGCGCGTGCCCAGAGAGGAACCCAGGCCCTTGGGGGCGGGCTGTACCTGTTGGAATTGGAGCCGTTCAGCTTTGTTGCCCAGAGCTGGGCCTCTGTGCCCGTCCCACGCGGATCAGGGGGTGAAAACCGGCTGTCTCGGGGCTGTTTCTAGCTGCGCGTGCCCAGAGAGGAACCCAGGCCCTTGGGGGCGGGCTGTACCTGTTGGAATTGGAGCCGTTCAGCTTTGTTGCCCAGAGCTGGGCCTCTGTGCCCGTCCCACGCGGATCAGGGGGTGAAAACCGACTGTCTCGGGGCTGTTTCTAGCTGCGCGTGCCCAGAGAGGAAACCAGGCCCTTGGGGGCGGGCTGTACCTGTTGGAATTGGAGCCGTTCAGCTTTGTTGCCCAGAGCTGGGCCTCTGTGTCGATTTACAAATTTTTGTGCTTGGGTTTCGATTATACAATGATCAAATACCCATCCCTCCACCAGTGCCCATATTTCACCACCATGGATAATACCCATCCCCCCTCATCCCCCCCATCCCACCCTGCCTCTGTGGCAGGGCATTCCCATTTGTTCTCTCTCTCCTTTTGGGTGTTGTGGTCTGCAAAAGAGGCATTGAGTGGCAAACATGTTCAGTCCATAGTCTAATTTCAACATGCGTCTACATCCTGGGAGGATCCTCCAAACACCCTCCATTTGGTGTTCCCTTGTCTATCTGAACTGCCCTTTCCCCTAGAATACCCGGCTGGCCTGTAAGCTATGGAGTAATCTTCCTGGTGTTGATCTCAGATATTCTTGGGTATTAATCTCATATTTTGTTACTTTATATCCCCCAGATGAATGCAATCTTTCTATGTCTATCCCTCTCTTTCTGACTCATTTCGCTTAGCATGATACTTTCCATATTGTACCACTTGTATGGAAATTTCATGACTTCATCTTTTCTAAGAGCTACATAGAACTCCATTGTGTAGATGTACCAAAGTTTCTTTAACCAGTCATCTGTTCTTGGGCACTCAGGTTTCTTCCAGTTTCTGGTTATTGTAAACAGTGCTGCAATGAACAAACAAGTGCAGATGTCACTTCGACTATACATTTTTGCCTCTCTGGGATATATTCCCAGGAATGGTATTGTTGGGTCAAATGGGAGCTCAATTTCTAATTTTTTGAGAATCGTCCATACTATTTTCCAAAAGGTCTGAACCAGTCGGCATTCCCACCAACAGTGAAGGAGTATCCCTTTCTCGCCACATCCGCGCCAGCATCAGTTACTTTTGTTCTTTTGAATGTGGGCCAGTCTCTGAGGTGTGAGATGATATCTCATTGTGGTTTTGATCTGCATCTCCCTGATGATTAATGATGTAGAGCATTTTCTCATGTCATTTTTTGCTATTCGGATTTCTTCTTTGAGAAAGTTTCTGTTCATTTCATTGCCCCATTTTTTGATAGGGTTGGATGTTTTCTTCTTGTGGCGTTCAACCAGTACTTTGTATATCCTGGATATCAACCCCTTGTCAGATGTGTATTCGGCGAATATCCTTTCCCATTCTGTAGATTGTCTTTGTATTTTGGTCACTGTTTCTTTGGAGGCGCAGAAGCTTCTTAGTTTAGAGATAATCCCATTTATCTATCTCTGTTTTCACTTGCTCGGCCAGTGTGTACACCATGATTGGCTAGGGCTTCTATGACCGCTTTCATCTCAACAAAATCAAAGGCCTTCTTTAAATCAATGAATATTAGACAGAGCGGCATCTTGAACTCCTGAGAAACCTCAATGAGCTTAGTAATCGTGTGGATATGGTCGATGGTACTGAATCCTTTTCGGAACCCGGCTTGTTCACATGGTTGTCCTTCATCTAGTGTTCTGCCAATCCTATTCAGGATGACTCAAGTGAACAGTTAGTAGATGACAGACAATAGGCAGATTGGGCGATAGTTGCAGATGTCGTGGATGTCTCCCTTCTTGTATAGTAGTACAGTCCTGCTGTGGTTTTCCATTGGGATGGAACCTTGCATACAGACAGGTAGCATGTGAAGAGCCGAGCTAGTGTATTGGTAGGTACTGATGGTAAGTTCTTCAGGTGTTCAGGTCTGATCTTGTCTGGGCCAGGTGCTCTTTGTTTCTTTACCGACGAGATGGCATGTTGGATTTCGGAAGGGAGCACATTGGGATCGACAAATCCATCATGCGGAATGTGGTATGTGGGCAAGTGGACATGGCTATTAAAGAGATCTGAGTAGTAGTCATGAATAATCTTCTCCATTGCCCTTCTGGAAGATGTGACAGATCCATCATGATGTCGGAGGGCAGTCATCTTGGTCTTGTAGTTGGTGAAGGACAGGAGGTCATTATGAATGCTTTTCCTGGCTTCTGCCGCATCTACCAGCGCTGCTGCTCTCCTGTCTTTGAGGTCATCCTTGATGGCTTCTCTGCATTGTTTTGCCAGCTCAGACATTCACCTGCAGTTTCCTGAGACATGTGCCAAGCCACGTTGGTGAATAAGTTCAAGAGTGTTCGAAGAAAGGCGTTTTTTTTTTTTTGTGGCTATCTCTCTCTTGGCATTCCTCGCACAATCATGGAGGTGCTGAATCATTCAATCGTATTCCTCATCATGTTGTCAATGACGGCATCTTCCCATGTTGCCGCAACAGAGCCAAAGAGCTCCCAGTTGCTGGTCGTTCTGGGAGTTCTCTTCCTAAACTTTGCATTCTTTTCTCTCCGTTCTGTGAGGTAGAATTTTGCACGAAGGAGACAGTGGCCCGATCCCATTTGGAAATTTGGGAAAACAGCAACATCAGTTAGGCAAAACCACCGATTGAATATACCCCTCAATTTAAAAATATAAAAATTATTCTTGAGTCAGAAAACTAGGTTAGGGGCCAGAGATATAGTGCAGATGACAAAGTGCTTTCCTTGCATGAGACTGAACTGGGTTTGATCCCCAAAACTGCAAATTGCCCCTTGACACTACCGGCAGTGATCTCTGTGTACAGAACAAGGAGTAAATCCTGAGCATCTCTGAGTATGACCCCAAAACAGATGAACAAATAAAACCCCACAAAACCAGGTAATGGGATACCTTTGGCTTACAGATTTTAGTTTACCTACTGCTAGCTATTTCTTTATCAAAAATATAATTGTCACATAAATAATTTATGCATCTAACTTTATAAATATAAAGAATCCTGACTACAGTTCCATTGCTCAACTTTTCATCTCTTCTCCAAGGCAATTACATATATGTTATTGTTTGCAGATATGCTAAAGGCTACCCACCCTATTCTCCATATATAGGAAGCTCACCAACATTTTGTCATCTCCTTCATGAAAAAGTGCCATTTTGCTGCTTGAGATTAGACAAGGTAAGAGATTTTTTCTTTTATTTAATATAAAAAAGCAAAATTATCACATTTTCAATTCTATTTAAATAAATTTGCAAAGTCCTTTGCACTGAAGGTCACCTGTCATTCCTTTGCTGAAGTTTTGAATGAATGAAGTTTTTTTAAAAATCACATTTTATTGTTTTATATATCATATAGTATTGGGAGGTCAGCTTCAGATCCATTGTGTGCATTTGCCTTACTGTCCCACCACTAAGGTCTAATACCATCAGACTATGAAATTCATCTTCTCAGCCTTGTCCTTCTACCCACCATCCTCCTCTCTTCTCTGAATTCTATAGTGTCTAAGATATTTTTTCTTTTGCCAGATAATTTTCTTTGCTGATTTGTATACTACATATGCAGGAAGTCATCTGGTAATTGTTTTTCACTTTCAGCCAATTAGGTTTTTATAGAGGAAAATAAAGATCAAAATTTTCTACCTACAGATTTTCAACATCCATACTCTCCCAAAATCACTTTTTCTGAATCTGCACTATTTGTCTTACCAGATATTTTTTTGTTTCCAGGTTTCTGTATGATATTGCTTGACACTGTGAAACTATCTGATTTGTATGTTTGCAGCAAGACTGGCTGTGGAACAGATTGGAAGCTAGTTTTACTGTAGTCCTTAATACCTTTTTTCCTAAAGGTTGCAATGATTTTGGTTCTGAATGGGTTTGATAAAACTATCCAAAATAGATTTCAAGACATTTTATTGGGAATGGGGACAGCAGGTGCTTGCCTTGCATGCAGCCAACCCAGGTTTGATCCCCAGCACTGTATATGGTCTCCTGATCATAGCCAGGAATGATCCCTGAGCACATATTCAAGACTAAGCTCTAAGCACCACTACATGTGATCACCCCAAAGAAAACAAAACAACACAAAAATGCATTTTATTTCCACATAGAATACTCATTATATTTGAGCAGTATTGAGCATGATTTATACTGGGAATCCTCAAGTCCCACACCCAACTCCTAGATAGTAAACTGTGAAGTGTATGATGGAAATGCTTTCCTAAAATGTATTTCTGGGGGGAAAAAGGTCAAATTTTAAGAGATTTCTTCTTTTACTCTAAATTTAGCAGATAATAACTTGAAATCTCACATCCTCATTTATAAATTGTGCATTTTGAACAAAACGCATATTGCATTTTAGTTTTCACATCTACAAGATGGCTATAATTTTGACATAAACTTCAGAGCAGAAAATTATATAAATCAGTGGCTGTGACAAACTTAAACACAGTTCCAGGAAATTAGTAAATGAGTCAGTGTTCTTTCAAGTGTTGTTATTTATGTGGTAAGCAAAGTTAATCTTGACTCTTGTCACACTTAAGAAGAGTGATATTTTATTGAAAAATTTTTGTTTTTATTATCCAGAAGTTGTTTGATGAATCTTTGCCAGTGCTCCTGCATATTTGTCTCAGCCCGTTAAAAGGGATATCTCCACCTCTCAATATTTGATATAATTTTTTGAGTTTGTATTTTAGTTACCTGTCTAGAACATTTGATATAGCTGCCTAAATGTGTGTTTTTGGTAACATTGATGAATATTAAGCTTCAAGGCCCTTCTCTTATCAGATATTTTTTTTTCCTTTTTGGGTCACACCCAGCGATGCACAGGGGTTACTCCTGGCTCGGCACTCAGGAATCACCCCTGATGGTGCTCAGAGGACCATATGGGATGCTGGGAATCGAACCCAGGTTGGCTACGTGCAAGGCAAACGCCCTACCCGCTGTGCTATTGCTCCAGCCCTATATTTTAATTTTTTAACAAAATTTCACTCACTTTTATAAACATTTGGCTCAACAAAACTTGAGTTTACTTCTGATGGCATTTTACTTTTAGTACATGGTTAAAGATTAATAAAATATTGACAGACTAAAGTGGAAACTGTGTAAAGCTTAAAACCTGAACTTTCAAAATTGAGGCTCAGTGAAAGAACAATCAGGGGCTTTTTAAAGCCCAAAGAATATGAGCTGTCTCTTTACCACATTGAAAAAGCATGGTTTTGAAGTGTTTCAAACTGCGGCATCTGCACTGGTAACATCTGTGATTATTTGTCATTTTGGTAATGTTGAGTTGAATAGAGAGAATCTGCTTTGTAGATGAAGGCCCTCACTGAGAATAGATTGGATTATGCAGCGAATTTTATGATGTTTGTAAAGAGTATGAGTCAGGATTGAGTTATCCAAACCAGTAGGTATCAGCTTTGGGTGACTAATTCTTCCTAGGCAGGGTCTAACCACTTCATATTCCCTGTTTTCTCCTTTTTTTTTTTTGTACTAGCAGAACTACTTTAAGCACCTTAATTAATTCCTTGTCCACATTTCAGTATTGAAGTTTTTAACAATCCCAGCACTGTCCATCCTTAACTTTCTATGGTCTCTTTGTTAGCGGCTTTAGCTCTTCTCTGTGGCTTCAGATACTGCTTAGGTGAGTAATTCTCTGCTTCCAAAGAAGACTTCCAACCTTCTTCATCACTTTTCTTTTTATGTATTCTTCATTATATTTTAATCCTTCCTTCTGGCTTCATATTCCTCCATTTTAATTATCGCTTTGAGAAATGCAGTCTAGTGGGATGTCCAACTTCAGATTATATTACTGAGAAGTTAGTTATCATTCTAATGTGTACTCCTTCTCATATTTTTTCCTCTCTGGTTATACTAAAGAACTCATTCTTTCAGTACTTCTACTAAGATATGTAAGGTTGTATATTATTGTGATATATATGATACCACATTTCTCTAATTTTGATTTGTTATAAGGAGTCACTGGATTTCCAGGACCCATGAATTTTTAAAAATTATTATTAATCCTAAGGAAGTTCTCAGTAAATATTTTACTTGAATATCAAGGTTTCTTTTTCATTTTCTATGTTTCAGATTTATTAAATTTATGTTAAATGGTCTCATTGCTCTCTTCTAGTATCTTAATTTTTTTATTTCCTTTTAATATTCCTGTTGCCCCAGATTTGTATTCTAAGTTATTATTTCAGTTATACCCTAATGGTTCTTTCATCTATTTCAATGGAGTGTTTACCAGGGAAGTAAGAATTAGTAAAATCTGCAAGACCTCTGGCATGGCATGGCATGGACAGTAGGGTCTCTCTAAATTGCACGTTAAATGCATACAAGTTCATCCCTGTCACCCTGCTCATGGGGACCCCTTGGTTCTTAAACTGAGAAGATCTGTGTTTCTTTACCTCAAAATCAGAAATCAGCCCAATTCTTCACTTAGAGTCTAGGGCTTTTATCTTCCTTTTCAGAAAACAATTTCAGGAGATGAACAGCAAAGTAAAAGAGGTTGATTAATGGAGAATACACAGTGGAGGGAGAGTGAGATTGCCACAGAGGCGAGATAGTGCTGGAAAATTAAGAGAAGAAACGGTGCACTCAAATCCAAGTGTGCCGTCTCCAAATGTGGTGGCTCTCAATTTGTGGGGAAGCTGGAACTTTCCTTTCCCAGGTTCAGTCAGCTGGGGGTACCCGCCAGGGTTTGGCAAGGTCAAGTCTTTGAGTTCTGGTGGTCACCTTTTCAGGGAGGGAGGGGAAAGTGTTTTACACCTAAATGTCACCAGGATTACTGTAAGCCATGCTCAGGGGTCTGTGTGTGTTGCAATGGATGCAACGTGGTTGACCAATGGCAAGCAAGTACCTGTCCCACTGAATTCCTTCTTCTGCTCCAGGTGGGACTTTGTTCCCACAACTGGAGCCTTTGTTAAATCATTCTCACAGGGAATCTGGTAGGGGGGTGATGGCTCCTTTTCAGATTATGTCTTGTCTCTCCACAACGTTCTTGAGTTTAGGACTTTCTAATATTTACTCTGAGCACTCTCCTGCAAACTATGCATATCAGTGTGTGTGATTTAAACTATCTTTTGAGTCAATATTTTAAATTGTTCTCTCTTTTGTTCTGAAGACTATAGGCTAGTTGCTTGTTCTTTCTTCAATGCTTTAATTATGCTCTTTCATTTCTTAAATATATTAAAAATACTCATTTTATATTCTAAAGTAAGATCTAATGGTATAAAAATCTGGAATCTCTGTGAGTTTAATTTCAGTATTCTTTGTTTCTGCTGACTTGTAATACCTTTTCTCACAATTTTTCTGTATTTTTTCTTCTTCTTTTTTTTTTTAATTTTATTGAATCACCGTGAGATAGTTACGAGCTTTCATGGAGGGACACTCTTTCACTGTTGGTGGAAATGCCCACTAGTCCAGACTTTCTGGAAAACAATATGCACAGTCCTTCAAAAACTAGAAATTGAGCTTCCATATGACCCCGTAATACCACTTCTTGGAATATTTTTTCTTCTTTAAGTAAAAGTAGAGAATATTCTGGAGTTGATCAATTTACAAAGAACTAATTCCAATCTAAATAAATTAAAAATTCTACTTTTATTCAAGATTTTATAAAGATTAAAAAGCCTATTCAGTTATCTCTCAAAAAATTCTTGAAAGAGAAGAAATTTAAGAACAAAGATTCCCTTTAGATATTCTGTCCTTTTATCTATTCAGAATTTGGAATATCCCAATGTTATTTAATTACTCTTTTCCACAAACTGGAAGAGAAAGATGATTTTTTCCCAGCTTTTTGGACTATTGTGGAAAAAATATACATATTTGTGGTCTATCAAGTATTTTTGTTTTCATATATAATTATTTTTATATGTGTACATTGTTATAATTTTAAAATATAGATACCCAGAAGTCATCTAATAATAAAATTTAGTTTCCAATAGAATGTATGCACATATAGTGCAGACTTTTTCTTCCCTGCATCAAGCATTCTAGTTGCAATTGTTTTGTCTTGTTCATGCACACCTTTGCTTTTTTAAAGTGGGCTGAACAACTAGTCATCGAAAAATGTAACTATTTCAAATTTGTGAGAAAGTAATCTACTAGGTGAGATTATTTCCATATATCCTAAAATTTGTCACCAAAGCTGAGTGGAGTATAAAAATGGCATTTCTTTGTATAATTTTTCTTCTCCAGAGTTGCCAGCATAACTACTATGAGGATGCAAAAGCCTATGGATTCAAAAATAAGCTAATTATAGTTGCAGCTGAAACAGCTGGAAATGGATTGTATAATTTTATTGTTCCTCTCAGGGCATATTATAGACCAAAGAAAGAACTTAATCCCATAGTACTGCTGTTGGATAATCCGTAAGTATATTTTAAAATACACAAATAAGAAAAAGAACTTTAACATTATATACAAAATAGTTTAACTTGCTTACAATACTTTAAATCAGATACATTATGGCACATGATTCATCAGGAGATAAATTTTGTGCTATGGTACAAAATAAATACATTCAAGAGATGTATTTTGTGCCATGGTACAAAACAATCATAGATTATGGTTATACTTCACAACTACTACTTAAAACATCACCGGAATACTCCCAGCTATTTATTTTAAACTATTTTGCAAGTGGTCATCTATTTAATAGCCAGTGGGAAATGCGCCACTGAAATAATTATAGTAATTTTCTTTAAATTAATCAACTAGCCTGGAAAAATCTCTGCCAAAGCTGCACAATTTTGTTGTCTTTCCAAAGAACCATTAACTATAAGATAAGCATTTTAATGATCTGCTTTCATATGTTATACCATGACACATTTCCATAAATTGTTTTGATTATTCCACTCTTTCAACAAAAATTCTGTAACATAGCATGTATGAGTAATGTGTTACCATGGTCATTCATTTTTAAATGTTGAATTTCTATGCATTTATGAAACATGAACACTAAGCATTCCAAAATTTTTATGCAAATGTAAAATATAGGTCAGTGAATTCTGCAATTGGCTCTTATATCCTAAAATTATGGTATTCTTTGTGCTTGAAATTAGTAGCTAGTGATAATACTTCAGGATCCAATCACTCTTTTCTAAAATTCCAAAATGAAGCAAATTTCAGAAGAAAAATTAATAATGCAAAATCATTGCCTGGTCTTTGCCTCTAAAATTTATCAAAGGCTAGGAGATGTCCCCAAGTCTGTATGTGGGAATCCATGTTGAATTCCTAACACCACTAAGTCCCTTGCACACAACTGGGATATAGCCAAAATAAATAAATAATAAAATTTTTTGGAAGAAGTTTTACCAAACAAATTACTTTCCACTATATGAATTGGCTTCATTTGCATGTTATAAGACGCTCGTTGTTATCTTTTTTTTATCATTATTGCAAGGAATAAACTCTAATACTTGACTAAAACCATGGAAGAATATGCCAGTAGGATAACTGAATTCCAATTTTATATCCCCTTGCCATGTCAGAAAATATGAGGTAAATTTAGATGTGGTGGGGGGAAAGATATTTGCATACATTGTCAGATAAAGTAAAAGTTTATGATGAATTTTATGAGAATGAAACCTTGGTTGTGAAATAGTCACGACAATTGAATTGTTATGAATGCTCAACAAAGTTCACTCACTACCAAGACCTCAAAAGCCTTTGAACATGGCCTCAGTTCTAAAGTTTTGCTAGTAAGAATCTGAAAGGGAAGGGCCAAGTTATCACACCAAGAGATGCTTGATGAATAGCATCGATAAATACACATCAGGTTTGAGTGCTTTCTGCTTATGACTAGTCCATTTTCTTAGAGATAAAAATGGAAAATTAGAGATATACACAAAGCAATAGCCTGAGATCTCTCTTATATGACTTGAAACAAAGTGGATCATCTCACATCCAGGTTATAGAAAAGAATGAGGTTTGAAAAGAATGAGATGGATCCAAGCTTAGAATATCCCTTTTCTATATCAAAACCTCATAGATGCCCTTTTTTTCTGCTCTACATGAATTCAAAATAGAAATGTACTTCCCAGTAGTAAATATCTTTCCTACAAAAATGCCTTCCTATAATTGGGAGTATATTTATTCCTTGGAACAGAATTAGACACAGTCTGTCTTCCTTCTCAGAATCACACGCCCTCCTTTTTCCGCCTCATGAGCTCAGCGAGCAAATGGGTTCAGCTCAGGTGTCTGTCCTTGACTCGGCATTTAATGCATATTTTGTGATAGCTGTGTCTAAACCAGTCCCTTTACATATGGTTGTGATGAAAAAAGATTGTCAATCTCTGCCAGATTATGGAATGATTGATTAAATTTTTCTCAGAATCAAAATATTCTATTGTTTTTTTCCCCTACAGCTAATTTTTCAACTTGATAAGTTATAGAAAAATCTGAGGACTCTTCTTCTTAAATACTGGTGTACTCAGTGCTTACTCCTGACTTTTTCCTCAGGAATCACTCCTGTTGGGGCTCAGAGAACCATAGGGGATACTGGGGAATAAACCCATGTGTGCCATGTGCAATGCAAGTGCCCTGTGGGCTATGCTGTCTCTCTAGCCACTAGATGTAGCTTTTTGTCAGGACATTTTATTTTTACAAGACCATAAAGATTAATTAAATGAATATTCTTTACCTGCAAATTCTTTATAATATAATAACTGCTGAGATTTTATTATTTTTCAGAAATCAGACTTTGACTTTACTTTTTATTCTCATAAGAAACATGTCTATATCATATAGAGATGATTTATCCTGAAATATACTGAGAAACTTCATAATGCAAAATTTATAGTTCCATTGTTACCATCATCATGACTTATATTTTGGAATGCATCTATTCATATGATGTTTATTATTTACTATTTGGTGGGATTTGACATCATTTCAGTGAGGTAAAAATAAAAAGCTTATTGCAAGATTCTGTTAGTTTCCTGTGTACTTCCCAAAACTGACATCAATATTTTTTATTTATTGTCCTCTGATCCTTTGCTCAAGAATAAGAAAATAAAAACTAAATACAGTACATAATATTCCAGAAAGTTTTAGATAAAATACTTTGTTTTTAAGCAATAAAAAAACCTATTATACTCTCATAGCTAATATTTGATAGTCTGTTCTACAGTGTTACATAGAAATGCAATGCTTTCTCAGATTAAGAATTTGTATGTTGTGCTCTTTTGAATTATCAGTTAGGTATAAAGGACTTTATTGTTTGTTTAAGTATTTATTTGGTTTTGAGGCCTCACCCAGCAGTGCTCAAGGCTTACTCCTGGCTCTGTGCTCAGGGATCACTCCTGGTGTGCTCAGGGAACCATATAGAGTGTCACGGGTAGATCCTGGATTATCTCCGTGCAAAGCAAATCTGCATCAATATTGCAGAAAATAATACTCAAGTAAAGGCTACTTAAAATTTTACTGAAAGATAAATTTATTCAGAATAACAATAACAAATATCACAAGTATGAGTTTTTAATGCAAACTAATATTAGTTTGTTATTAATTTATTAATAGTTTGTTACTAATTAATAATAAATGCATTATTTAATACCCATAATATTTCTAAGTGTTCATCATATTTCTAAATAGAAAATCTTCAAGAACTCATATAAGTAATTAAATAAGCACTAGGGTTGCTCATTACTAGCTAGTTGGCAATTTATTCTATGTGATCTTCTGTTGTATCATCTTGCTTTAAATGTTTTGATTATAATCACAACCTTCAAGGTTGCTAGTCATCTGGTGATACCACTTCATGTGAGAAATGGGACATATAAGTTTAAAGCTCTTTTTCAGGTGTATTAGACAAGTTATAAGAGCCAACATTGTTTTCCTAACACCTTCATCTTGTTTACACTCCCCTTCTATTAAACTCTACTTTCTGACAAATGGTGCTGAAGAAACTTTAGTTCAGCTTATTTCATAAGTAATGATAAAATTTATTGTCACAAAATGTTGTTATCTTACAGTAATACCACTATTGCTATTAAAAGCTTTCAATTTGAGGGCTTGTACAGATCTGGCAAATGATCTATGCTTGTTTTCTTGTAAACCTAGGGCTATTTGTTGAATTTCATTCTCTCAGTTTTCTCATTTGTGAAATCACTAGAGGGGTCTTAAGTAATTTAGAACTATATGTGATGTTGCATATGAGGCATACTCTGTCTGACTCACGAATGGCAGACAGGAAATGGAAATTCCCTTCTTCCATTAGGAGGAAAATGACATTATCCGGTTCATACCAATGAGTGCCTTTTCTGCGAAACCCCTATCAACAATAATGGAAATTTATTCTAAGTAGTTGAGATTAAATTACATTTGTAGGACCAGAGAAAGAGCTCAACACACTGAGCATATGCTCAGTCCCTGCCACTGAACACCATCAGGGTCAATCCCCAAACACAGAGGCAGGAGTTGCTCCTGATTGCCACTAGATATGACCCCAAAACAAAACAAAAACGACATATACATGTAAATATATATGTATTTTTGGTATATGTATAAAGAAATAAGCTACTTAGAAGTGGAATAATTCTGAGAAAATAAAGAATATCATAAAGGCCTAAAATATTAATTTCTTTAATTTGAAGTAGAAAATTATGTTTATTCTAGTTATTTAAAACCAATTTTACAAACATGTTAGTCACAGACATTTTCACTTCTTAGCAATTGATGGCTACTTAATAATTGCATATAGTGACAATTTTATAAAGAATGGGCACAAATTTTATACCTTGTGAGGACATGATTTTTAGAACTCATAAGTAGCTATTTTTCTACATAAGTTATGGTTAGGACACTAATCAACATTGTTCCAGTTTTCCTTCTGTTTGCTAACATTGATTACTTTTATGTTTGTTGAATTTTGTTTCTTGTATTACTAATTAGTTATAGCATGTTTCTTTTTTTTCTGGTATGATCTATGAATAGTCTGTCCTTGATCAATTTTTATCATGCTTATCTTTTTCTTATTTGTAAGATTTGTTTGTATATCAAGCAAATTTATTTATAAGGAATGAATTTTCATTAATTTATATTATAAGTTAAAACTTTTGTGATAAAGTTTTAAAATTAATCCCTCTGTGATAAAATTTATAATTAAATCTGTCAATAATTTTCATTGCTTTAATGTAATTCACTGATGGCTTTCTCCATTTGGAAGTCAAACAGAAAAATTACATACATTTCATTCAGTTGTATTGATGTTTTAAATTGTTTAATGTTCCCTTCATTAGTACTTCTGTTTATATCATAAGAATGGGACATCTACTTTTTTATGTGTTATTATTCAGTGCTAGCCAGTAACAATGCTTTGCAATTCAAAGTTTATGTTTGTCAATTAATTAATTATAATATGCTTGCCAATTAGTTTGTGCTTGTCATTGGATAATTAGAAAAAAATAGTTAACTCTGAGCCTATGAGATGGGACTGAGATGTGGCTTTAACAGCAGAGTGCACGGCCTGCAGTTGTGTGGTCCTGGGTTCGATACCCTATACTCCAAGTTAAGAAAAAAGAGCCTGTGTCATGATTCATGTTACTTTTTAATTACTTAAACAGTTTATTGCCATAGTTTTTGTCTTTTTAAGTTGTAGCCTATTTGATATGTGGAAATTATCACTTTTTATCTTTTCTGACTTTCTTTAAAACTGCCTTTATGAGTATAAGTAAATGAATCTTATTTGTTATTCCAGTTAAATTTTGCAGATTTCTGCCCAAGTCAAACCTAGCTTGTTAAATTTAAAAATGTTATCCTAGTTAAATTTTTCAGAGAGCCTATTGCCTAGTAGGCTCCCAACATTAACTAAGCTTATGAAAATTACATATTTTCAAGATTTCAGGAAACTGATTTACCTTCTAACAGAGCTAAATCCATCTAAGAATGAATCATGAAACATGTATGGATGACTCATAGAGTACAGATGTTAAAGTAATTTCTAAGATCTTAGAAGATTTCTTTCACAATGTGAATAAAGTAACTGGCTTTATTGCATGTAATAACATTTATGAGTTTCTTAAAACAAGGTAGTATTTTGATGTGTAGGTATCTTTAATGATTTTACTTAATCAAGACCAAAAATCTTATCTTAACTCTGATAAGACGGTTAACTACAGAATTTACTTCATAGCCAAAGTACCAAGTACTTCTTATTATACAAAATAGTATCAATAACTTTTATTAAACAGACTTAGTCAATAATATTAGTACTGTGACAAGACTAGAGGATACATCACAAAGAACAAATCAAGAAGGTAGCATTATGAAATTGAATTTTGGGGGCCAGAGCAAATAAGGCATTACCTTACACAAAGTGGACCTGGGTTTGATATCTGCCATCCCATATGGTTCCCAGAGCACCATCAGGAGTGAGAGCCAGGAATAAACCCAGTACCAGTGGCCCAAAAGAAAAAAATTAAGTTAGAAAGAAACTGAAGGGTAAGAGTCAAAGAGATAGTACAGGGATAAGGCACTTTACTTAGCACATAGTCAGCTTGGGTTCAATATCCTGCACTCTATACAGTTCTCTGTATACCACCGGGAGTGATCCCTCAGTGTGAAGCCATACCATGAGTAAGCCCTGAGCAGAATGAGTTGTGGCCCACATTCCACTACCCACTCACCCACAAAAATAAATAAATTTTTTAAAAAAGACTGTAGCACTGTCCTCTTGTTGTTGAAGACTAAAAGATTAAAATGTGAATTTGAAAGAATAAGATTCAACGGGATGTTATCTGGGTCTGGGTAGATATATCCAAGGAACAATAAGGAGTTATGGAACCAAACCGGCTGCAAATCTTCTTGATAGGTAAAATGTATTTCTAAATCACAAAATCTCCATGCTGCCTGCAGTCCTGTGACATTTCCTCACAAGTACTCCTGTATTCAGGACAGCTGGAACAAGCTCTTGAATGATCTTAAATCAACACTTAGAACTGCCCTTTGGGGATGGGGAGAAAGCTTTGGGGCTGGAGCACGTGCTGCATGCTGAAGGTATGGGTTCAATTTCCAACACTGTGTGGTCACCTTAATACCATGAGGACATCCCCCAAGTACTTATTCAGGCATATCCCCTGAGCCTCCAAACCAATATTGATAAGGGAAACTTAACTTATTTTTCCCTTTTGGTTGTTGGGCCACACCCAGCTTCCTGAGTGTGTTCTCAGGAGCGTTCCTGGTGCTGCTCATAAGACCATAAGCAGTGCCAGGAATCAAACCGGTCAACCACGTGCTTAGCAAGTACCTTAATCACTGTGCTATCTCTTCCTGGTCTCTGGCCTCCTCTTTTAAGAAGCAATTAGTGTATACAGATAACTAGAAGACACAATCAAAGCTTGTACCATAAGTGTGTATTGCTGTAATATTTGTTGAACATTACTTTTGCAAACATGAAAAATATTTATGGCCTATGATTCACCAATAACCCTTCTATGAGTCTTAGATTAAATGATAAAAATGATTGCTAATGAAAGTTAACCAAAACTTCCTTATCAGCATTATAATTCAATGTGATGAAAATAAATCATAATTATTAAGAAATGTGAAAATATCTTATAAAATGAATAATGGAGGATTTTTAAATGATCTAATATCTGTAATATTAATAAACACTTTAAACTGCTGCAAAGAAATTTGAGAATAGGAGAAAATCTATTCATAATGTTTCTGTGAAACATCTTTTTGAGTCTCACATATTGAACACTCTTTTACTTTAGAGTGTAATCAGATCAGATGATATTTAACAGGAATAAAATAAACCAGGGGAAAAGACTTCATCTCGTAGGAATAAATACATGGGATGTATGTAATTTTCCCTATAATTTCCCTCTCCTTATATTGCATAAATTCTCAATCGTCATTCAACCAACATCAAATTTAACTATCATTTCTGTTAAATATTCTCCAAGTCTGCATCCAAGTGCTATGTTTTCACTTTTAGATTAAAACATCTAATGTGATGTGCGCTTTTGGACACAAATTCCCAAAAGTATAGTTTTATAGATGAAATTAATATAATACTCTATTTTGCATGTAAATTAACATGTTAAAATGTCTATTTTAAATGTTCTATACATATGTACTTAGCAAATAGATACATGAAAATTAATAATTTTGCAAAAGGAAGAAAATGATTAAGAGATTTCTAAAGAAGTTTCAGATTTATGATCCTTTACTGAAATGTGTACATAAGTGAAGATTTCAGCTACACCTAATATTTGTTCGACATTATGTATTGAGTAAATCAATAAAATGGAAGGTGAATTTTTACATTTATATAATACATATTTGCGTGGGTATATATTCTGTATCTATTGATATGTTTCTATATCAGAGGACATGCAGTTCTCTATTTTCCTGGGACAGTTGCTAATATCTCATGTTAGTTTGGCTTTCTATGCTTTGAGTCATCTGGGAAAAATAATTATTATTTTCACATTTTATGAGTTAGCCCTCTACATGAATCACTTTTAAATCTGTTGGTAAGTTATTTTAGTTATAATTGAGAGTAGTGTTTTAGTGTTTTGTGTAAAATTATGCCATAATGTTTCTGATTTTGAAAGCAGATCTACAGTTTAGTTGTTTTTTATAATTCTGGGTATGTTGTATTATTCATAACAAGTACAAATGATGTTTTTTGTTATTGTTAAGATAATAAAAAGGCACATCAGCTTTAGTTTTGAAAATGCAAACTAAGACAACTTACTTCCTTTCCCCAGAAGTGCTACCGCTGTTGTGACATTGTGTTTCATTTTGTAACCCATCTGCTACTTAGGCCAGATATGCATTTTCTGGATGCAATCTGTTGGTTTCCAATGGTTTACTACATGGTGGGCTCTATTGACAAGTAGGTGACAAAATCTTTGGTGCACTAACTCCTGTGCTGTCCTGTGATTTGTCTTGTGCTGTGCCCTTTTGTTGCATGAGGAGTGTTACTTGCCCTCTTAGTATTTGCAAATATGGTAGTTTGCATGCAGAGCTTATGTACTTGTGTGATATACCTTGTATTTAAACTTTATAAACAGTAATGTGTTGTTGAATTAAAACAAATCTTGCTGCATGTCAATAATGTCTATTATATTCAGATTTTAGAAACTTAATTCCTTTTTTTTTGTCTACAATTAAAACATGACTTACTATTGACATAATGGCACAGGACACTTAAAGGTTCAACATTGTGATGCCTTCATATAGTTGTCACAAGTTCTGAAAACTTTTCGAATAATTTTGAAATCTTTTAGTTCAGATTTATAAATTATACATGTAGTAATTAATTTTCTTCTTATAACACATGTTACTCTATAACTTCTAAAATATTTGTTAATAAAAGTCGAGAATGTGCAATTCTCTAGTGTTAAGATATAGATCATTTTATGTGCAACATATTATGCATTTTCTTAAGAGACCAATTTCAGTTATAAGGGCAATTTTTTTTTGTTTTGCTTTTTGGGTCACACCCGGCGATGCTCAGAGGTTACTCCTGGCTCATGCACTCAAGAACTGCTCCTGGCGGTGCTCAGGGGACCATGTGGGATGCCGGGAATCAAACCTGTGTTGGCCATGTTGGCTGCATGCAAGGCAAATGCCCTACCCGCTGTGCTATCGCTCCAGCCCCTATAAGGGCAATTTTAAAACTAAATATGATAAAAGATGCTTCTGCTTTGTTTCTCCAATTAAAAGATATGCCAGCCAGAGTCTTCAAAATAAAATGCCAAAAAATATTAATTGGGAAGTTTCATGATTTTGTTTAATTCCATGGAAAATGAAAAAAAAATCTTCATAGGTTTGAATGTAGTTATTGGTAGTGGATTAGGTACCCTCCATTCTACATTGATATAATTTACACTATCCATTGTCAACAACTAGCTAAAAATTTAAAAAATAAACCTGCCATCTACATTTTCTGATATGAAATCTGAAATTAATTTTTCTCTGTAAAATTTGGTAAAAGAAAATAATTGAACTGATCAGATTATTGGGTTAGAGGTATAGTATTGGTCACATAATTATTGAAGGTGGGTGCTTGGTACACAGAGATTTACTGCGCAGTTCTCTTCTTTTGCTCATGTTTGAAAGTACCCTTACAAGTAAAACAGAACAAAGCATCTGAATGAATTAAAACAAATTTACAAACACTCCTTCATACTCATAGGTTCACATTATTCTCAGAGGAAGTCTTAAAGAAAGTCAGGAAGGAGAGCTTTGCCAGGTAGTCTCCTGTCTCATCTGTACTCATGATGACTTTTTCGGAGGTTGCCATCTGGTGGTGAAAAACGTGTAAAGCAATCACGCTGAGAAAAAAAAAAAAGAGGCTGTGGGAAAAATAACAGATACGAAATTTTAAGACTAGCTTGATAACCTATTTTTACAAAAAGGCAAAAAAAATAACAAAATTAAGAACCAATTAAATATTTAAAGATATAACAAAGTTAAAATATGCTAAACAGAAATCTTTCAATGTAGAAATGTCATTTTTAAATGTTCTATTTTTTAATGTAGATTTCAATGCATAATTACTAAAATAATCAACTAGGGTTATTCGTAAAACACAACATTCAGTATTTTTAATATGGAATTGATATATGCATATACCAGTTCAGGTAGTGTTAGCCGTTTTACCTGTACCCTCAGTGAAGTTTTTGACAATATTAATTTCAACTTCATTCATTACTGATAAAATTATCTTCCTTATCATCATTCCTACCTTTGAATCCTTTTCAGCAAACTTACTGCTTACCATTTTATTCTTTCCATTTCCAGTATAGAAGTCACTACAGAGTATTTTTTTAATCGGGCTGTAAAAATGATAAGTGCTAAAATATAAGAAGCATTACAATATGATAAGGTGAATTGAAGAAATACAACTCAGATATTATTTTTATGGACTATAAAGAACCACACACATTCATTTCATGATGTCACTTTCCTTTTTAAAAAATGTATTCTAGTTAGTGTAAGAACAATTATGATGAGTTTCCTAGATGGAAGGAGCCCCCAAGTCTTCATAGACAGTTTTAGATTCAGTCATATATTGATCGGATGTTATGGTCCAGCCCCTCTCACCATAGGAAATTTATCTGGAATAACATTCTGTTTCCACAGTTTTAGCCATAAAATCTCTGCCACAGAACGTTGTTCCTGATTCAAGCGAAATATTTTTTCTGGACTACTCCTGGGGATCTGGACTCAAAGCTTTGGTAATACTCTCTCGCCTTATAACAGAGTAAGAACTGCCTCCTGCCTTCCTGTAAAGGAAAAGTATTTCTTCCTAACATGTCATGGCTAATCAACCAATCCAATTATGCACTTGGAAAAGATCCTCAGGGAATGCCCCCATCATTTAAGTATCTAAGTGGAAAAAAATGTAAAAAAGTATAAATGAAACTTTTTTTTTTGCTTTACACTTTCTCTTTTAAAATAAAAGAGAAAATCGGTTCACATGATTTTTTTCTAATGTCTGTAGTCGACTCTATTTAAGACACTCTTTCGGTAGTTAAGTTTAATATCCCTTATTCAGATCGATATTTTTTCAGTGTATATAAAATGCAGACAGTGAGGATGATTATTTACTTAATTCAGGACTATTGGGAACATTTTCTCTGAATTCAGTGGGAGAATGTTAGGAAAAGTTTTCATCAGTTACAGAGAAGATAGACTTACTCTATTCCATCTCATAGGACTTTACACACCCAAAGAAACCAGCTTTCAATTACTTTTTAAAAAACTTAGGTTGACTAAACAGTTGGCTTAATACAACTGATGATTACATACTTTACATGTTTTTGACTGTCCAGAACCAATATGTAGCATATTGTTTTCATAAACACAAAAGAGACACTTTCAGATATAAATTCTACATCTTTTTAGACTTGACCATTTAAATTAATAGAGTAAGTATTCATTTATAGTTTAACAAAAGGACATGAAGGATTTAAAAAATATATATGAATGGTGTGTTTTTGAAATAGAATATTCGCTATAAAAACAAACTTCTAGCATACTATTTCAATGTCATTGGCAAATTGATTTTATTTGCACAACCAAGTATTAATACATATGATTTTGTAACAGTTAAGATCTAAAGGAAGCATAGAGTCTCACAGTATCAATTATTTAGCATGAGAACAGAATATTTTACCGATAAGTCCCATTAATATCTAATGATGTACACTTTATGAATGCCACCCTTAAGCGCGATCTATACATCTTCAGGGTGCAAGCAGATCTTAGCGCCTATCCTAGGATTGTGATTTAATAAAATTCCATTTCTGTCTGTTGATTTCTATCAAAGCCTAGACGATCTACTCAGGTGTGGAGTGACTTTTGCTGCCAACATGGTGGTTGTGGACAAAGAAAGCACCATGAGTGCTGAGGAAGACTACATGGCAGATGCCAAGACAATTGTGAATGTGCAGACTCTTTTCAGGTAAATGTCTGGAGCACCAGTCTTGTTGATTTACTTAGTGCTCAGCATTGTAAACCATTTGACTATGTGCCAATGGAATGAACATAAGACACACACAGGTTATGTTCATTTATTTATTTAATCATAATCCAATATGTGACTTGCACTGTGGATGTCAGTGTTTTAATGCCAGGTATTGATAATTCCTTTTAAAACTCATTCTATACTCAAACGATTTCTTGTATGATTTTAAAGAACTGAATCGACAAAGACATGTGACATCCCATGCATGGTCTGAGTTTTGATTTGTTTGTTTAAGAGATACACCTGTAATTCTTTGTACTCCCAAGTTCACTTCAGGTAGTACTGAGAAAATTTTTGGGTCCAGGAATCAAAACCTGGATTTCATAGGCACAAGCTGATAGTATTCTTTGGCCCCTAATTTTGGTCTCAATGTCTGTGTCTATTAGTGGTGAAAGGTTTCCATTTACATAATGGGCAGCAAGGACTAAAGCCAGCCTGTGAATAGGGAATATAATCATATTAGGAGCAAGGTCATAACATCCTTATCACAACTTTCCTGTAATTCATTAATAAAACTCATCCAGAGAGGAATTCTTTATATGATCATTGTAGGTAAGACTCTGTGACCTTAGCAAGAGAAAAGCCCATGTAATAATCAAAGTTAAAAAAGGTAAAGGTAAAGGTAAAGGCCCTCCCGTTGATCGTCAGTTTGCTCGAGCGGGCCCAGTAACGTCTCCATTGGAGACTTTGTTGTTACTGTGTCTGGCATATCAAATACTCTCTGTAGCTTGCCGGGCTCTCCGAGAGGGGTGGAGGAATCGAACTCGGGTCGGCCATGTTGGCCGCGTGTAAGGCGAACGCCCTACCCGCTGTGCTATCGCTCCAGCCCAAAGTTAAAAATCCTTTAAAAATCAATGTCTCTGCACGATATATGTAAAATGATTCTTATACCAATTTAAAATTCACATAGCTCCAAGATATACATGAGCTATGAAATAATAAAATTAAACTATTTGAATTCTTTCATCATGTTTTCTCACTCTACCTTTATTTTGTAGCAAAGCACATATTGAGGGTCATTATCTGATTACCTGAATTCATAGTTCAGGAGAAAATTATCCAAATTTGAATCCTACCTAATTAGATGATGATAGGAGGCAAATTGTTTTCCTTTCCTAACCCTCTGTGTCTTAATCACAAGGCACATGGTTGTTTTTGATAGTTTAAAACATGTAATGTTGTAGCACACAGTTAGTTTTCAGTTACTTGATAAGTGTTTGATATTATAACTATTAGCAATGTAATTTTCATTTTCAGACCATAGACCTTGCAACAGCAAATACTGTAGCAAATAAATTTCACCTGGTACCACTATCCCCAAGGATTCCACAGACAATAACTTTTTAAATTTATCTTTAGTTGTTGTTGTTGTTGTTGTTTCCTAGATTATGATTACTCCAGGCCTACCAATGCCAGGTCCTGAGATGCGGGAGGTGAGAGGCAGGGGTCATGCCGTGTCTGCCCCTGCTGAATCACAGCTTTAGCCTTTAGTGTGTTTCTTTTCCTTTCTGTTTCGTTTGGGGCCATAGCCGATATGCTCAAAGCTTACTCCTGGTTCTGTGCTTAGGAATCACTTCTCACAAAACTCAAGGAACTACGTTTAGTGCCAGGGGTGAGGGCTAGAGATAGTACAGCAGGCAGGGAGCTTGACTTTCACGTGTCCCACCAGGGTTGATTCTTGGCATCTAGTATGGCCCCCTGAATGCCACCAGGAGTAATTCCTGAGTGCATTCCCAAGAATAACCCCTAAACATTGCCAGGTATTACCCCAAAACAAAAACAAAAAATATCTTGGGTCAGCTATGGGCAAGTCAAAGCAATTTACCCCCTGCACTATCTCTCTAGCCCCTTAGTATATTTTTTTTAATCTTTGCAAAACTTGTTTACGAGGGCCTAATATGTGGCTAAGCATTTTCAGCACACATCTCCCATCCCGAGCAAGCCTCCAAGCATCATTTACTTGGTGGTCCCTTCTCTCTCAGCTCCCTTCATCCCAGCATGTGAGGCTGGCTTCCAAGCCATGTAGCGATCCTCCTAACCCTTATCTCTATTATCCTTCGCTGTTAGTTTCCCATTATGTTACTTTATATTCCACAAATGAATGCAATCATTCTAGTCTGTCCCTCTCTCTGTGACTCATTTCATTTAGCATTTAGCGTGATACTCTCCATGTCGGTCCACTTATATGCAAATTTCATGACATTTTGGAGGGTTCACTGAGGATGGAAGATGTGTGCTGAAAGTAGACTATGGGACCAAACACGATGGCCACTTAGCACCCATATTGCAAACTGTAACACCCAAAAGGAGAGAGAGAGTAAAAGGAAATGTGCCTGCCACAGAGACGGGGGTGGGGGGCGGGAAGCTGGCGGGAGGTATACTGGGAACATTGGTAGTGGAGAATGGGTACTGGTGGAGGGATGGATACTTGATCATTGTATGACTGAAATGTAATCACCGTATATGAAGGTGATTCAGGAAGGAAGGAAGGAAGGAAGGAAGGAAGGAAGGAAGGAAGGAAGGAAGGAAGGAAGGAAGGAAGGAAGGAAGGAAGGGAGAGAGAGAAAGAAAGAAAGAAAGAAAGAAGGAAGGAAGGAAGGAAGGAAGGAAGGAAGGAAGGAAGGAAGGAAGGAAGGAAGAAAGAAAGAGAAAGAGGGAGGGAGGGAGGAACACAGTTGGCATAACACCCCCAAGAAATACAAACACAGGGTTTTTTTATGTATAAAATGATTGCAGAATGTAATTAATCTGCCTTAAAGTTTTGATGCAAATACTGTATTTCAGCTATATAAAGAATTTGTCACATAGTTGGGAAAATTTACCCTGGACATAAAAACCTTTCAGTCTAGAAGTTTAAATACATCTCAAAACATTACAGAATGTGAGTGTTTACCTAGAATATCTAACTAGTTATTGATCTGTACTAAACATTAAATTAAAGATAACATAGCACATATTTAAATATGACAGCTACATTTCCAATTTCTTTAAAGAATGAAATAGCAAATTGCAGGGTGGGAAATTAATTGAAGGGATGAGATTTATATACTATGAATAAAGCAAAATCATACTTCTTTTTGTTTTAAAACTCCAGACTTGGCAGAAGCTAATTATAACATTAATAAGAAAGAATCTGGGTCTTTTTGATTAAACATTCATTTTCATTTTCAACTTTGTGAGTTTATTTCTAGTTTAATGAGGTTTTTATTGATTGGCTTTTATTATATGTTCTCTGAATGAATTATTTTGGATCCAAAACAGTAGTAAATTCTTTTCTTGCTGAAAGATGCAAAATTTTTAATTAACAATTTAAAACAAATTGACCAGAATTGCTCAGGGCAGATACACAGATGGTAACTTGCAGAGGAACCCTTTTTATGTTCCTGGTTGAGAAGAAATCATTTGTAAGAAGAATTAATAAATAACTTGGATTCCTTAACTTCTAAGGTTACCTGTCAGCAGCTTTCAATTTTCCATAATTTATATAGTGCATACATACACCCAGATTGAATTATTGCAAGCAGAATTTTCTGAATAACTAATGCATACCCAAACTAATTATTTATGTTCTACCACCCACCCCATGATCTATAAAGGCATTATTATTATTTCACTAGTCACATATCATTTGTTAGGGTATACATTTTTATGAAACATTAAGAAGTTGTTCTACTTAAGTATGCTTGCTGAATTTGGCCAGTCCTATACAACAAAAGTAAGATATTAGATCCCTATGATTCATAAAATATCATTTATCCTAATGAATGACCAAGGCTTGTAAACTTGATTGTTTCATATTAAAATTATAGTAAGCTACTACCCGTTAGGTGATTTTTCTGCATTCCTTGATTATTTTTCTTCTGGTTAAATATGATTTTTGCTAAACCTGTTTCTGCCATAATTTATGATGACTTAAAAAAGGCCTATGTAGTTGATGTAGTAGATATTTGACTGAAGTCCTTTTCTTTAGTCAAATATTATCATGGTTCTCTAATATTTATGTGCTCTATAATTTCCTTTCCATAATCCCATTCAATTCTGAATATCACTGCTTAATTATTTTCTACCTCCCATTTCTTGTCATATCTTCAACTCAATAGTTTGTTTGCCCTGTTGGAACCTATTCTTCACTATACTCAGTATCTAAGGGATTTTGGGGCCCTTACCAAATTTAATTTCAAGATCATCATAACCAATATGGCCCTGGAAAACTAAATTGATACTTGCCAGACACTACTCTGAACTAACTCCAATCCCAGCATTTTTCCCCCTCTTTCTTTTTCTCGTCCTCCCATCTCTTGACTCTTTACCATACTTACTTACCTACCACCTTTCCTGAAATTCCCTACAGACATTCCAGAAGTAGGATCCAGTCAATTACGTATACCAGAAAGCCTCACAGAAGCAGAAATCCAGTATTCATAAACTGGACCCAGGTTCCTTAGGTTTCAAGGCTAGCATTCCATCTCTAAGTGAACCAGACCATGCATATGGAATATGTAAGAGCAAATTATTCTAAACACAATTTTTTAAAAAATTTATTTTCAAGAAGTTGTTAACAGTAATTGATTACATTTAATATTTCAACACCAATCCCACAACCATTATTTCTAGTTTTATCACTACCACCCAAGCCTGCCCAAAAGGCAGATGCTAAGTAATTTATTTTGTATTGCTTGTATGAATAATTGACTAAAAACGATCAAAACGATTTCCTCAGAGGAAAGTGTGTAAAATTGTTGTCTCTCCTTTTGGAGCCAATGAATCCCTATATTAGAGATCATTAAGATGTTGTTAGAGTTTAAGTATTGTATGCAATATCAAGATTGGTTGTCTTCAACCTTACACCCCATCAAGTGTGGTGTGCTATTCCTGGTATATCTGTGACATAATTGTATAAAATGTTGTTTGGCAGCTTTTGCTGCCACACCCTCCTG